GGGTTTGGGGGGAACAGTGTGCACATGCACATATGCGCATGCCTGTATGGCCATCTTCCTTGGATCTCTTAAGTGTATTGTGATAACCCTTACAGTAGCAGCACATTGGCCACTGTTGTCCCTCTACCTTACCTGTGTTAGGTTGGGGTGTTATATCTTGTGGTTGCGTCAAGGTTGATTGTGTAGTTTTATTAATAGGTTAGACAATGGATCTGTATAGGATGGCTTGGATAGGGATGTTCCTGCCTCTGGTGGGGGGTTGACTAGATGACCTCTGAAGGTGCTGTCCAGCCCTACTTTTCTACGATTTTTATAAGTAGATCTTATTTCTAATTTTAATATTTTTTCTGATTTTTCTACATGCTGTTAAGTCTGCTTACTTTTTAATCATTTAAAAATTTGGGTTGGGAATTGCTATTCTAAATTTAAAATGGCATGTACAATAAAAAGAATCAATTTAATATGATGTTTTGTTTAACTTCATTTTAATTTAACAACGGTCTCACAAGAATGAACAGCAAAAATTTACAAACGTAAAAGATTCTTAAAACGTTCTTATTTTAGTCATACTGAAGTCTTAGGTCCAGATCCTGCAAAGTAGTATCTTCTAGAGGACTACTCCTAGCTTGCAAAATTAAGCACACAAAGCTGTAAGTCTTTACAGTATTGAGGTCTGAGCATTTATTCTACATCCAAACCATTAACCATATCTCAACTGGAAGCCAACTAAATTTTTTCACTATGCCTCTGTTTTTTATGACCATTTTATGTTGCCATTGCGCGCACAGTCCCTAACTGAAAAGGGCTTCCTGGTATTGTCTGTATCCATCACTAAAATATGACATTAAGAGAAGTAGCTGACCAGAAATCTTACTCTGGAGCTTCAGAAAAGAGTACTGAGACATTCACACTTATTATGGAAGTTACAGGAAACTCTGGGCAAAAAGTCTAAATATAAATGCTTATTTTATTAGGAAAAGAAAATGATAAAATTACAAAATTAAAATATATTTTAAAGGAACATAAAATCAACAATCTATAAAAAAAACTCATGCATGAATGAAGCATGCTTCATTCTGTTAATACTTTGAATACTGAACTCGTACATCAAGTTAAATGTTGAGAATGAATATTTGAAACATCTTTATTTTTGGACTGGGTGGATATTGAAGAAAAACTTCTAAGGCAAAATGAAAATCCTCATCCAGAGTCCAAAAATGTAGGGAGACCCTAAAAATGTAGCAGAAGCATTTCCGCACACTGATTTCAATAGTCGAGTTTGTGCAGAAATGATTCCACTAGATTCATAGAGTACCTTTGAGGCAATGGCAACTCTTTACTTCATTAGCTTTTTGACCTCTTCCAGCTCTTCTATGGGTTTCCATTGCTGGTACAATGTCAAGAGCTATAAGAAATTAAGAAAAGAAAAAAAAAAAAGGGTTACAGCAAGTTACTAACCCCTCCTCTCCCCAACCAATAAAGAAGCAATTATTTCCTCTACAGATGTGGTCTATTTTTATACTATGCAGCAGTGTACACAACCTCTGTGCATGAAGAAAGCCTGTTTAGTAAATAACTTTTAAAAGAAGCAGAAGTACTGTCTGACCACAGTTACCTTTAGTAAATTATCACAGGAAAAAAAAAAAGGAATTCTGTGGACACTAAATAGTTCTAAAACTCAATTAATTTTATTATTGTATTGATCCTGGGATCACTACAAATGTTTTAAGTACTACGTTTTTCAGTAAAACAGACTTAAGAACAGTATTATTTATAAGCAGATAGGCATAGCCCAGTATTACTTGTATACCCAGAACTTAAACTGAAATCAGTAGACTGAAATAAACAGGAGTTGCATTTGTTAAGCACACTCCAGAATTAGGTCAGGAATGTAGGATCAGACCTATAAAAGAATAGCTGGAGGTGTAACAGATAAAGACGTGGGTTAGAATATATTTCCCATGTATCTTTCATTTTTCCATTAATATTTTGCCAACTATGATACTTATATATTTTACACATTGATTTTTTTTGTTGGCAATTCACCAACATGTATTTGATATCAATTGCTTTGTGGACAAAAAATAAGTGTATTTGATTACCTTCCTAGGCTTGGTAGGATCCACTCTTTCCCAAGGTTCTGGATTACCAGACTTGTTAATACTAAAAAATACAAAATTCATAATAGAATATTACACATTAGGATTTGATGTTGTACTCTTAGGCGAGTAGTCTTACCAGCTATTTGCATAAATAAAAGGTTGTACATGCAAAGGGTTCTTAGATTTAAGACTTTGGGTAGGGGGCTGTGCCCTTAACGTGTAGTTTCTATACCAATGTGTTAATATTGCTTAATATTTAATCGTATTATGTTATCATAAGGGCAGTCAGACTGAAAATCAAAGCTGGGGATGGTTAATAGCTACCGGAATTGTTAGATCCAAGGCTAATGGTGCCCACATCCTTGAAATCAATTTTAAAACTCCCATGGACTTCAAGGATAAGACCCTAACCAGGTAGCTAAAGAATTTAAAAATAACGGCTACCAAATACTCCTCTTTAGATACGAGCTATGGAAACACTGCTATTTAACAACCTGGGTATCAAAAACTGCTCTCTAGATAGGAGCGAGGGAAGCACTGCTATTTAATAGTCTGATTTAATATCTACAAATAGGACTTTATTAATAAGGACCTTGAAGGAAGAGCGAGGGGGGGTGAAGAAAGTAAAGGGAATCCCTGAATACTGATTGATGCTTGGAAATACACGATTGCGATTTGTGTAGCTCTGCCACAGGAGAAGGAAATAAAGCAAAATAACAAAAATGCTGTGTTGTGAACAATTACTTCCTTTAAATAAAATCTTTCTTTGCAACCTGTGAAAACACAGTCTGACTGGGTTGGCTACCTACATTTAAACCCAAGAGCATTGAAGATCAACTACATTTCAACTGGTGACAAAAATACTCGATTTTCTGAGCAGCGCATTGGATCCAAGAGGGGGAATAAGCGAGGGGCTGCCATGTCAGCAAATCAGCTTCTGAATAAAGAAATGCCAGGGGCGGATTCGCATCCCAACCCCACGAGTGTCTGTGCAAAGAAGTGGCGGGGAGCGCAGGGGAGGGGGTCTCCTTACATGACGTCCGTCTTGCTGACCAGAGCATAGACACAAGCAGAGACAGCCCCAACCGCGGCGACGGCCACAAACCCGACCAGGGGGATGAGCTGGAAGACAAGAAGCGGGTCAGGAACGAGCTGTGCCGGGAGCGGCGCGAGGGGAGGCTCCCACCTGCCCCGCGCTGCCTGGACGCGGCGGCTCGACGCCCAACTTACTTCTTTCTTTTTCCGCAGCAGGAGGAAGAAGCCCGTGTTCCCCATCCCGCCGACCCGCAGCGCAACACAGCACTGCCCCAATCGGCCGGGAACCGCCCCGGCTGCCCTTAT